CCTGCTGACTGCTAATTGAGGTGTGCGTGTTTGTATGGTCAGCTGGCTAGATGTCAGGAGTGATTTAAATGTTTATGCCTCATGTGATCTGAGGTATCTAGGAGTATCATGTGAGATGTTGTTTGCTTTCTTGTTCCTAATTTTAAACACAAGCCTTTTCTGTGGCAGTCTATCGTTGAGTCTATGAGCTACTTTGAGACATTCTCCTTAGAGAGCTGTGGTCAGAGTTTAAAATTAATTTTCCAGAAAACTTGGTTCATTTTGAAGGAAAGCTAATTTATAGAACCAAAAATATGACAGTTATTTGAGGAAATTATACCAGTAAAAAAGTTACGATAGTTGATATGTATCCAAAGGCATGTGCATTTCAGATACAAGTAGTAAAAAAGGTACTAATTGATGGCCTCTTTGCCACACAAAACAGCTGTCCTCCCCCCCAGCTATTATATAGGTACTATCTTTACTTTTTTCCAAATGAAATTTAAAATCCCCCTATTCACGGCTTTTGTTCAGTGTTCTTTTCCCTTTGTTTCCTAAGAGGTATTAAGGCAAGTCACTTTCCAGGGTGTAATTTGCTTATTGTCTTCTGCTGGGAACTATGAATCAGTCATTAAGACTTAAGGATAGTGATAGGCAGGAGTATTGGTGTATCCTAAAACTAGTTATTGTAGTTCCCAGGCATGGAAAAGTCTGTAACGTCTTTAAACTCTCAAATGAAATTCGTAAATGTGCTTTCCATAAGCTTTAATCAAACAAGAACACATCCCTGAAGGAGATCTACTAGTTTTGTCCAGGCAGCTGAGACAAAAAAAAAAACCAGCAAAGGATACTGTAATATTGGAAGTGAATTGGGCTCATAGATGGATTGGAATGAGTTCTGTTGGGATTACCATCTTTGTGAAAAATGAGAATATGCTAGAACTGATACATCATCAAATCTGATGGAAACACTTTTTTCTGCTGAATATGAAGTCTCATTGTATTTCCAAATATTGCAGTGCAGAAGTCAATACATGTATTATACAACTGCAAATTAGGGAAGCAAGGGTACTGCTTGAGATCTGTTCTTGGACACCCAGTTTTAGCTAGTGCTGATGTATTTTGCAGAACTCTTGCCAGTTATTTTGTGCATTCATGGGTTCAGTCTGCAGGCTTTAAAAAGTAAGAACTTTCTATAATTTTTCCAGCAAAAAGGCTTAGAAACTGCAGGTATTAGTAGATGAGAGGATGAGGAGAAAAATTACTTACATATTACTCTGCCCACAGATGCTTTCTGTGTATGGTCTGAAAGCAAAGGGAAATGTGTTTCTTCTAATGCTTTCGAGTTCCATCACAGAAAACTCAGAAAGGCATGTCCTTATCCTACAGAATTAATCTTCGGTGTGATCTTTTTTTTAATGTGTTACTTATCAAAAGCCACCAAGTAGTTCTCCAGCCAAAATGTAAATCATTAACACTTAAATTGTGTGGGGTGAGGACTGAAGATCTTGCATGTTTCTTTCCATAATCTGAAAAATCAGAATTTATATTTTGTTCCCTATAGCTTCATCATGAACCCTCTTCAGCTTGCAGAATATACTTTAGAAAATAAAACACAAGTTGTGAATTAGTGATTAGCAGTGTCACTGTTAATACGGAAATGTAAACCTGAAAAAACATTTTTTCTTAATCCCTGCTTTACAAACAAACAGGCATCACACCTATACATGACACTTTAACTGCAGTACTGTATCTTGGCACAGGTGGAACTTGCCCCTTATCTTTTGTTTAGAATTAAATAAATTACCACTTTTCAACTTGTTCCTTGTGATCCCTTGGGTAAAAATTAGTATGTAATATTTCTTGTCTTCTGCTCTGAATTGGACACAGGAGCACAGCCTCTGTCTTCAAGAAGCCTGAGGATAAAATATCGTAACCAAATTAAATTTGCAATTGATCTAAGATCGCTCCATTAAGTCAAAGCAAGACTTTGTAGAGTTTCCTGCTTTCAGTACTCTTGTTGATAAATGTATCTTGATTATAATCTTAAACCTTGTCAGTTGTGAGCACTCTGAGCGGGAGTGCTTATGATTATTTGAGTGCTGTTTGGAAACCTCAGCAAGTTCTTAAAACTCTGACAGTCCAGCCATTTGCCTAAGTTTTTGAAAGCTACCTTTGCTGGGAGAACTTGATTTTTACCCAAGGAAATGAGATTCCAGGGTAGAATAGAATGTCACTCTTCTTTGTTTTGCATTGCAACTGAAGACAAAAATCAACCTGTTCTGTCCTTGGCAGGCCTGCTGCTGAAACTGGCCAGCATGAATGATTGATAGAAGTAGAATTACATTCTCTTCCTTTTTTAAGAGCACTGATACAGTACAGGCACAAGACTGTGGAAGTAGCTGTTGCCTTATAGTTCTATAAGCAATAACTAAATGGCATTTTGTAAGGTTACAGGCCTGAACTTCAGTAAACTCTTTCTAGGGTGTGATGCAATACTATAATCTCCCTTTTTATGCTTTCCAGTATATCGGAGTCCTTGAGATATGACCTAAAATAAACTGTGGTCAGCTACTGGGTCTTTTAACATTTCACTTAAGACTACAGAAATAAAAAACACTAAAAACCTAATGAGAAAGTAGGGGTAGCAAATAAAGAAATCCTGAGGTGTGTCTTTGGTGGTGGGGCATAACCTGCACTGGCTGAAGGTTGTAAGAGTGTGGTTGTCCAGGTCCATATTTAGTCTGAAATTCTGTCCTTTTTCTGTTCTGTAATAAGTGTTTCTCTGAAAGCATATCTGGCTTTCCAGTTAAATTGGGTGTTCCACTAAAAGATATTATGTCTTTCTTTAAACCATGGCTAAGTATCAGTGTTCTATAGAACTTAAACTGTTTTGATTAAATAATTTACTGAAGTGGGGGGGGGGGGAAGTAACTGTATGGGTAGGCCTGCATTAAAAAACTTCAAAATTAAACATTGACAAGTAAATGGGATACAGTGATGCACACCCAAAAAAGGTGGGGGGGTGTGGAGCTGAAAGGGCTGGGGGGGATCCTGTAACAAGTGCCTAACTCCTCAAGTTTCTAATACTTCGTTAACAGAAAAGTTTCTCTATACCTTTGCATTTCTGGTTCTTGAGGAAGAAATGATTAAACATAACAATGTAAGAAGTTTCTCTGGAAACTTGCTGCTGAAAATTGTAAGAGCATTTTTTAAGCCTGGTTCTAATTTAGAAATAATATTCCTGTCTCCATCTAGTGTTTAAAACAAAAGAAAATAAAAATTCATCAAAGGAATACTGGCATTTAGTATATGCCTTAAGAACAGTGCAATTCAGAGAAGGTGCAAATACAAGACCCTTCCCTCCAAGTATTACTGATGTAGTGTATCAAAACCAACCAAACAAAAAAAAACCATCAAAACTGTTGTTGCATCCACACCTAAATGGGAAAGACATGAAACTATGTATTTGGACTATTATGCTAGCCAGCTAAATCTTGTGTAGCATAAGTGTGGTCGGAGGTGAAGAAGTGAAAATAAAAAAAAACATAAATGGAGCTGCTTTCACTTTTCACATTTTTTTATGTCAAATTGATAGTTTGCAGGCAACTGTTTAAAGAGGACAGGAAGACTTGCATGTGCAGTTGTAATACTCTGAAGAAAAAATTCTTTCAGAAAGATTCAGTTTGCACTTTAAAACACAGATAGTTTTGATAATGTCCAAGACCATCTGTTTTGTACCCATGGCCTAACATTACCTGCTCCTATACAGTCTGCTCTTTGATGTTATGAACTGTTGATCCAGAATTATTCTACATGGTGGCTCCTCAGCTAATGATTTTTAAAAATCTAAATATTTTCAGTGGAAAATGTGCATGCAGTACTTTGTTCTTAGGTAATTTTTTTTAATTCAGTTATAAAACTTAATGGTATCTCTGGATGCAGTGATACTGCATATGAGGGCTACGGTATTAAGATGTGTATATTATAATGTAAAATGTTATACATTTTAATTTTAAGTGTCGTCTTTTTGTATCTTTCAGTTCCGGGGGACTTAGGTAATCAGTTGGAAGCAAAGTTAGATAAGCCATCAGTAGTGCACTATCTCTGCTCTAAGAAGACAGACAGTTATTTTACACTCTGGCTGAATTTAGAATTGCTCCTGCCTGTCATCATCGACTGCTGGATTGATAATATCAGGTAAGACCAGAAATGTTGCTCTTTGCAGTTATGTCCTTTCCTTAGACTGACATGCTTTGTACAGAATGGCCACCTTAAACTTTCTTTTCTGGTTCAAGACCAGTGAGAGAAATTACTTGGAATTCTGCTAGGTAGAGTAATAGGATGAATCAGAAGATGTGGCTCTGTTGCATCTGAGGTAGCTGTTCCTCAGTAATGAAAAGCAGAAATTCTCTTAGTTTCTTCTACTTTCTTTCATACCAGTTACCCAGTGTTGGTCTGGGCACTTATCAGACACTTCTGTAGGCTGATCTAAAGCAGAACATTTTCTGCTTTTTTGATGCGTTCAGTTTTGATGAGGCAAGGGGGAAGGAGGTACATTGGGCAGCACGGAGGGGGCAGGCAGGAGGAACGTAAGCGTGCGCTTTTGCTGGCAGCGTGTCGTTAGAGAGTGGTCTCATGGGCAGCTGAGACACATGGGGTCCTTCAAGGGCAGTCTGGAAGTCTTTCCAGAATTATTTTGGTTTAAAACGTTGCCTAATTTAAAGCTTCCAGACTATTTCATTTTTCAGAATTATTTTGGTTTAAAACGTTGCCTAATTTAAAGCTTCCAGACTATTTCATTTTTCAATCTGCTTCATTGATGTTCCTGTAAAAATCATAAATATATCTATGAAAACAAGAAATACTTGGCTTGTGCAATTTAAAAATATTGTATTGGCATGTTGCTCTTTTATGTGAATATACCAAGCTGTTGTGTAGTGGTACCTCTGCTTTGAGTCTTGCTATATGCGTTACAGGTTAGAGAGATTTTTGGTGTGTGAAGATTTGAGTATCAATTCAAATTCTAAGGCTCCATCTGGGGGTAAAAACTTGCGTTCAGAAATAGCAGTTGTATTAATACGGTTTTAAAAACAAACAAAACCCCAACAACAATAATTAAAAAAAAAGCCAAATCCTGACACAATGCTCCAGATTCTTCATATCTCAAATGGATTTGAAAAGTATCTACAAAACACTCAATATCTCTATGTGTTTCCTGACGAACCAATGGTTATTAGTTGAGAAATATCAAGTACTCCCTTATGCTGGTATCGGTGTTCTAGTTAAACAGAAATGAATTTTTTTTATCTAGAAGAATTTTTCTGATATCTGATTTTACAGGTATTCTGCTGCCACATTCTTGGGTACTTGACAAGTTTTCTCCATTATGTGACTTGATGCAAAGTGAAATGGTATAGAACTGTATAAACTAGCTTATATCCTGAAGTTGAAGTTCAGCAACAATCCTGTATACTCAGTTTTACAGAGAAGATAAGTCTCAGATTCTGCATGTAAAGCATTAAGCTAATTAAAATAATTGTTTGCATAGTATAACCTCTTAGCCATTAGAGTACTCTTATCGTGTCTGCCTGTGGTTTTTGGTGTGTGGGGTTTTTGGTTTTTTTTCCTTCTGGGTAATAGCACTTGTTCTTGCAATAACAAGTTCTTGTTACTGCACTCAGGATGTAAGACCTCATGTTGCTGAGAGTTGTCATGTGGTAATACAACGTTTCATGTTTTCCTCCCTTTTTTTTTTTCTTTTTTCTTTTTCCCCCCAGGCTGGTATATAATCGAACAAGTAAGATTACAGAACCACCAGATGGTGTGGATATCAGAGTCCCAGGTTTTGGGCAGACATTTTCCTTGGAGTTCCTTGACCCAAGTAAAAGGAGTGTTGGTATGTACAAGCTGTGTCAAGTGCTTTGTCATTGTGGGATTTTTCTAGTGTGTCTTTATACAACAAGCTACTGAAAGGTGATTTCAAATTACAGTTCTGTTTAGAAGTAGAAAACCAAATTTTTTTTTTGGTTGTAGGGTAGCATATGACTCACTTTGCTCTTAAGTGTTTTCATTGCGTTGTTTTGTCTGTTGTTTGGCCTGAGAGATTGAGACAAAAAGATTCCATGTTATTTAGTCTTGTGCCAAATTTAAGTTCTCTGGATGAAACTTGAGTAGGCAATTTGAAGATAGACACTTTCAGAAAATGAGATGGGTTGAGTAGAAAATTCTGTGACTGAAGCTTGACAAGCCAAACCAAATAAAACCACTTAATTTCAGCTTAGTTCTGAGTAAGATGTTCTTTGGCCTAAAGAATGAGTTAATGGGCTTGGGAGATACGGTACCACACTCTGTAGTTCCCTGCCTTTTGTCAGTGTCAGAATAATTATATAATTACATTTGTGCTGCAAAAGATTTCTGCATTAATGTGCTTGCAGTTTTTTTGTTTTAGTGTTTTTGTAGAAGTCATCTTTCAGAAAACACTGACTCTGATAAGCTTTTGTGAAGAGTTGTTAGCTGTGGCTCAAGACTTAAGTAATTTAATAGTCAGTAATGCACTGAACTTCACATGCTTCATAGCATGGATTTCTTTTTCTTTTCTGTAGGCAGCAATGCCCAAAAGGGCAGTATGTGTTTAATGATCTTCACTAGATGACTCTTATAACAGGGCCATATTTAAATTTGCCTGTGGTTGCTTCAGGGACTACATGATAAGCATTCAAGACTAATGAGTGAGAGTCTGCTCAAAACGTAAATATGGCTGATATTCAATAGGATGTTTTGACAATTTTTCAAACTGTTACTAGATGCATTTAATTGTGGTAATGCTTACATCCTGTGTGTCAAAGCTTGTAAAATGTAACATCTTTCAATATGTAGCCAGTCTGCAAATGTTTCCCTTCTTTGCTATTAAAGCATTATGTTCAGTTACTTAAGTCTTAGTCCACTACCTGATAGACAGAAAAATAGTTTTGGGGTAGTTTCCAGAATTTTGCCCTGGGGTAGACTGTAAGCATTTGTTTCCAAGAATAAATGCTGAAGTCCAGGCCAATCTTTATGAATGTATTATATACCCTACCTGAAGTTAATTTGCAATCAACAAAAGCTAGGACTCTAATGTAGTAATTCTGAGATGTACTCTTTACAGTTCAAGGGTTAGACACATTTCTGCTGAAGAAAATTTACCCATTCTATGTATGCCACATCTTGCTGCCACACTTGTTTGATAGATCAGCCAACTAGTCAGAAGTTTTAATAATGGTTTTCTCTCACTTTTGGGGGACAGTGAGCATAACTCATTTTGTTTAATATGCAGCTTCCTAGATTATCTAAGACTACAGTTTCAATGTCTATATATGGGATCGGAGATAATGCCTCCAGAACTTACTTTGTTTTGTGATAGTGTCTGACAGCTGCTTTTAATGCTAATCTTTTCACGGCTCTGTTTCTCTCTTATCTGATATCTACAGGCAGTTACTTTTATATGCTGGTGCAGAGTTTAGTAGATTGGGGCTACAAACGTGATGAAGATGTAAGAGGAGCACCTTATGACTGGCGAAAGGCACCAAGTAAATAACATATTGTTACTTGAACGCAATTTTGACTCTCGGTAGGCAAATAATGTTTTGGGTCACTTCTCTCATCCTGCCTACCTGTACAATTTTACTTAAAGGACCCGGATGAAAGCTCTGTGGTGTGGTTTCTTCTTCTGCTTTAAACAACTTGCTACTTAAGACTTGCTTAAAAACAAAACAACAAAAAACCCACACCACCAAAACACATCCCCACAAAACCACCCACCTCTCCCACTTAATACTGGAATTTCTAAGCTCTGCATTATTAATTCCACAGACAGTTTCAATAAACCTTTTGAAGAATTGTGTTGAAGTTCAGCGTTCACAATTAATAACTGTGTAACCTGTGTATGTTTACTTTAGATGAGAACGGAGACTATTTTGTGGCCCTTCGCAAGATGATAGAGTTAATGTATGAGCAGTATGGAAGTCCTGTTGTCTTAATTGCCCACAGTATGGGTAATATGTACACCCTCTACTTCCTCAACCATCAGACTCAAGATTGGAAAGACAAGTACATAAAGGATTATGTGTCATTAGGTGCTCCATGGGGAGGAGTGGCTAAAACTCTCCGTGTGCTGGCTTCAGGTATGTAATTTGAGGGTTTGCAATGTATTTTTAGTAGTGCAAGGTATTAACTAGACTGCTAACTGTAAGGTGGGAGGATGAGAGTTTAAGGTACTATGAAGTTAAAAAATTAACTTTTTCATAAGTGATGACAACTTGATGTTTCAAGTGTCGTGACCAGACTGTTATTCTTTATGTTCATAGGAGTGGACTCAGTTTTTTTTTATGTGCCTTAACAAGGAGCTGCGTCCCCTCTTGACCTCCCCTAACCTCTTTTCAGTAGATTGTTGTGTCATCTGCTGTTTGGCCTGGTGTCTTCTATTTCTGTCACTTCTGCCTCCAGCCTGATTGCTCTCTGTTCAGTATTGCAAAGCTAACAAGGACTCCACAGTATTCAGTAGTTTCCTTTGATTAAAGATCATACAGTCGCTTGAGGCTAACATTAAGGGAAACTTGTTCACATGGTGGTGAAATGCTGCCCATAGCACAAATGCCTGTTGAAAGTTATAACTCTACAGATAAGGACAGTGAATCTTGGAGATCTTGGGTTTAGCATACTGGATAAGGCTGAAACTAAAAAAAGAAAGATCTGCAAATGACTGATAGAAAAAGTTCACTTACCCTACTATTGATACCGTAATTATTTCATGTGCTTTGGCATTGAGTTCATGATGTTTCTGGCGTGGTGTTTTAGCTTGTTTCTGACTTGTTAGCTTTGGATATCACTATCTTCTTCCTAAACAAAGCTGACATCAGAAACTGGACTTCATCAAAATGCAGAAAACACAGCAAGTGCCAGCCATGCATGGACAAATCAAAGAATACTTTGCTTAGCAAAGGCATTTGATTCTGAATGGTAGTGCACAGCTCATTTACTAATTAGAAAACTTAAACTGGATGTTTGTATTGAGTTATACATTGTTAAATCTATTGCAATGGCACTGTAAAAATTGATTTCCCTTTTCCCACAGGCTTTTTCTGACAAGTTTGCATGCTACAGAAATGGCAGGAAGTGAGCAATGTTAATATCGCCTTCATAAATTTCCACATGATTATATAAAATTCCACAGTCCCAGATTTCTGTTGGATTAAACTTTTGTGCTTCACATCTTGTTTATCCTTTATGATGCATCTCATCCAAAGTGGCTAGCTATATGAATGCATAATGAATAGTTGAATTTCTACTAAAATGTAGTCACCTTTTAATCTGTATGTCTGTTGTACTAAACTCTGTGTTTTGAAGCAGAAATTTAAGAACCTTGTAGGAAAGTTAAATGGCTGGAACATAATATCAGAATGCACATTTTTAGGCTAGTTCTCTCTCAAATATTTGTAGTAAATCACCACCATCAGGCATTAACACTTGGATTACATTAGTCTATTAAAGAGTTTCTAAAATTGACATTATCAGGATGTTAGTATGCAGAATTGTTGCTTTAATGAAAAATACTGCATTGCTCCAAGAAAGACAAGGCCAGCTATAAGTGCATTCTTTCTGCTCCCATTCCTCTTTATAATATGGTAATTGCTAGGAACTTCATGTCAAATTAACAGTTATGTTATCAAAGTGGTAAACAGTACACAGGTGGAATTATATTCTCTAGACCTTCTGTGATACTTCCTGCTACTTATTCATGTGCTTTGCAGGATCAATACTTCTTTCATTACAATTCCAGTGCCAATAAAGTCAGGATGTTCTTCCCACTACAGTGAGGAAAGACACAAAGTTCACTGTGCTGGTTGGTTTGTTTGGGTGGTTTTTGTCAGCTTGAGATGCTAGTGGTATCTTCCTTAGACCTAGTATTTTGTTCACTAAATGTCAATGAGTGTTGTGCCTGCTGACTTAAACATGGTCTTGGGCATACAGTACTTCTGCACTTCAGAGAAAAGTAAAGTATTTGATAAGCATTTTGTAATGGCTCTGTAGGAGAAGGCTGGAATAGTCAGGTTCTGTGTTTGATTATTCTACTGGAAATAAATTTTGTACACATTCCTTTCATTGTTCAATTTGGAACTTGGGCTTGCTTTGAAAACTGACAAGTAGTATTCAGTAGCTTAGTGGTGAGGGTGCACAGTTAAGTATTTATACCACGCAGTAACATGAAACACATTTTTCAGGACCTTTGTGGTTCTTGCTGTGCTCTTTTCAGTTTTCTTTTTATCTGTTTCAGAGTTATACTAGCAATGTCTCCATACAGTCGTCCTAAACATGGCATGAAAGACTGTGCTTTAGGTCTCCTTGCTGAAGCAATAGTGCCACCTTATGGAATTGAAAATTATACTTTGGTGCTATTTCTGGAATAGGAGTTTCGGTTTAAGTATTTAAATTTTTATGGTGTGGTTGACCTGTATCACAACATGCTGTAACCACCTGGACCTAATAATAGAAAATCTGATTCAAGGTTCAGCTGACAAAAGAATTGAGGTGTGCCAGCCATTGTGATAATGGAAATAGGTCTGATCAGACAGTCACCATGAAAATAAACTCGGGTCTGTCTCGGGGCTTCTTTCTTTTTTTTTAGAAATTATTTCTAATAATAACTATATCTGCCACTTATTAAGCATCTTTTAATCTTGTGAAGATGCAGGAACAATGGTTAAAATATGAAGAAAGATGCATATAAATTATAACTTATGTGTTTGAGCCATCTTTGGAACAAACTGCTCAGAAAACAATGGACTTGATGTCTACAAAAAGTTTCTTGAAATGTTTTGGTCAAACTTTAGTTCTGTAATAAGAGTAAGTCTAAATTTGGTAAAGTGTAACAATTTTGTGGTTTATTGGGTATTGGATAATTTAAGACTGTTCTTGATAATATGCTCTAGCTGTCTAGATTTATATTAAGAAAATACAGTGCCTTGGAAAAGCTCATCCAGCTGAAGACATTTCCCAAGTATAGTAGTTATCAACTGTTTTTTCCAGAATTCTTGGTTTTGTGTGTCCCCGCTCCCCCCCCGGCAAAGATGTAGTTTAGGGTACTAGAGTTGCTACAGAATATTAGTGCTACAGTAGAGGAAACCTGTGTTCTGAGCAACACAAGTATTTTAGCAGTCTTGAAATGCTGACTGGAAGGGAAGATGCTGATATTGGTGATTTTCCATGGTTCCCACCAGAAGCTAACAAGCTCTAACTCTTCTTTTGCCGAAGTACTACACGTAGAGACTGAATTGGTTATTGAGTGCAGTGTTCTTACTTGATAGCATAAGCAGAGCCACTAATACTTGCTTTACTTCTGTTTCCTTTTATGACAAGTTATCTTTTCAGGTGACTGTTAGAGTCTGCCATTTTCTTTCAATTGTAGGCATGTTCTGGTAGGTTTCATTACAAAGGGAGTGCATAAACTGGTAAAACACTGTGCCAAATGGTAAATAAGCCATATAGTAATTTTTATAGCTATCCTGAATGAAATACTGCTACTCTGCTTGTTTTGAATGTGCAAAACTTTAAACACTTTGTTAAACCTATAAAGTCTTGTCATGAGCTCTTACATGCGTGGATAGTAGTATTTATCTGTTCTTTTGGCAAAAACATGATCTAGGAACCAGAATGCTCCAGAAGAGCATTTAAGACAAAACTTGCATACGGTATAAATAATGGCTAATAAAAGCTGATTTCTTACTTGGTTAATATAGGAAATATTTTCTCCTTTAAAAAGGAGCATATTGGAAAGGCAGCAGTATTCTTGGTTTGTTGGTCATTCATTCATCAACTTGTATTTAAATTTGTAAGTTATCAGAAGTTTGCAGAAGTTCATTATAAGGACAATCATAAATGAGGAAAAACTTCTCAAACTGTCATTGTAGGCAAAGGGAATAATCTTTTTATTCATGTTATCACTGTGAGTGGTAGTAGTTGCTGCTGGATGAGATTCATGCATTGCTTTGTGTGTAATGAAATTCCACCTTTTTTTTTTTCAAGGTGACAACAACAGAATACCCGTTATCAGTTCACTCAAGATTAGAGACCAGCAGAGATCAGCGGTTTCCACAAATTGGATGCTCCCCTACAACTACACATGGCCTCCAGATAAGGTCTTTGTAAGCACACCTACAGCTAATTACACGCTTCGGGATTACCAAAAGTTCTACAGGGACATCAATTTTGAAGATGGCTGGCTCATGAGGCAAGACACTGAACCCCTGGTCTACCAGATGACACCACCTGGTGTGCGCATACACTGTCTTTATGGTACTGGTGTGGAAACACCTGACTCCTTCTATTACGAAAGTTTTCCTGACAAAGAGCCCAAGATTCTTTACAGCGATGGGGATGGTACAGTAAACTTACAGAGTGCCTTGCAATGTCAAAAGTGGGTGGACATGCAAAAACAGGAAGTGGTGATATTTGAGCTTTCAGGAAATGAGCACATTCAAATGCTATCCAATGATACTACTATCTCCTATGTGAAAAAGCTGCTTTTTGATTTGTGATACCTTGTGTTGACAGTTATTTTCCTCACCTGTGATGCCTTCCCTTAAATATGGGAAAATGCCTTTTAATCCCTTGATATTTAGATATTTGAATTATTTATTTTGTGGGGTTTTTTAAGGCTGTGTTCAAGAAGTTGTTTGGTGTCCTAAATGATTGTTTGTCTCTGATTTGTGTTTATGATGCTTCACAGTATTTTCACATTCTGCAAATTTGGTCAAATATGCATTTTGGTGCCTCTCGTGTTGTGTCCAGTACTCACAGAGACTTTCATTTGGAGATTGTGCAGCCCATTGGCACATACTACAGAGAATCATAGATACCTGAGCTCCTTTGTGTGACTTTGCAGGGTTTGGAGTGGGAGGGCTAGGAAGGATTGCAATTTCAAATGCCTGTAGAACAAGGGCATGATATTAATTTGGGAAGCACAGTGAACTTTTTAAAGGGTCTTGCATATTCTGATCCATAGTTCCCAGTACCTTAGTTTGTAAATGTGCGTATCTACTAGGTAAGATAGGAAGAGGTCTGCCTGGTACTGCACTACCTTTGTCGTAATCCAGCCTTTCTTTTACTACAGCTTTTGGGGAAGAAAAGATAGATGTGTGAATTGCTTGAAGGTTCTTATTAGGTACCTTTGGGTTTGGGGTGGGATTTTTTTTTAGAAGAAATTGTTTGCTTATCGACTTCTAGAACCTGATTACATACAATCTGGAGTCTGAGGAATTCTCATTTTGTGCTTTATTTGTCAACGAGGGAAAGAAGCTAAACAGTGGTTGGTGCTTGCCATAACTGTAGCTGTGTGGAGTAGCACATATATTAAAGCTAATTGAATACCGGCAAACAATCCATACAGTGCAGAATTGCATTTCTGGGTGAAAAATGATCTCCTGTAGTGGAAATGATAATGGATGGTGGGCATTAATTCAAAAAGAAAGGTGAACTTCCTGAAATGGGGTGGGAAATGGAAGCCAGCATAATACAATATGAAGTATAAACCTTGTTCTCAGTCAAATACTTAGGCTCTGATCCAATTACTGACCAAGTAGTGACTGGATCAACATTGCATTCAGCTGAAAAGAAACTTTATTTTTTAAGACTAAAATTTACTTCCCTTAGATTACAAGTTTCATTATTGCTGTTTGAAGAAGATTGGCTAAACTGTTCCTTAAACGTTTCTATAAATTGCTGAAAACACAACTCTTAATTTCCTATAGTATTGTTTTACTCAGTGTTTAAAAAAAAAAATTTCAACTCTGAACTCCACAGAAATGATAGCCTAAAGGCCACCATATTTACAACCTTGATTACAGGTTGGAGAAATAGTTTCACTCAAAGATTCTCTTTTGCTTGCTTTAAAACCGGTCACCCAGTTAGACTGCACTTAGTTTTCTGAAAATGCAATTTTGAATGCTTTCAAAATGCTAGGTCCTCCAATAAAAATGTTTTAAGAGTTTCAGAAACTCATCAGAACTATTCAGGATTCATTACTTAAACTGAAGTTGTCTAAAGGGTAAAGTTTTTAACTCTTTTGGTAGCATGCATAAAATGTTTGCTGCCATTAGACATATTAGATGTGTTGAAGTGACAGGCTTGAACTTTTGTTACTGTAGAATGCAAACATTTTGGCACAGGAGGTAGGTTTAAGGCTTTAAGTTTTAATTCAGAAATTACTTGTAAATTCAGAACAACTTGAACTAGGGTCATGGATAAGCTAAATATCTTCCTAGGGTTTAACTTCCTTATGTAGCTTCATTTTCCCCCTGCTTTTTCCCCTATTACTTTTGTTGAGGGAGAGTACACATTTTCCTGATTTTTTTTAAAATAGAACATTGTGGCCTCAGTTGCCCAGGAACTTGCAGTTCAGCAGCAGTATTGCCTAGACTTTTCCAGAGTAAGTACCGAGTTGCCCCATGCTGTTTGTAATTGGTAACTGTTCAAATGAAGAAAAAAAAAAACAAACCAAAAACCCAACAACAAACCCCAAAACCAAACCCCCAAAAACCAAACCACCAAAACAAAAAGCCCACACACACCCCAAAACCCACCACCACCACCAAAACCCACAAAAAGGTCCTTTAGCCAAGTGTTCTATTTTATGCAGGGCTGTCAGCTGGATAAGCTTCAGGCTTGTGTTCCAAGACTGCTCAAAGATGATAAAGGTCTTCCTGTGGTCTGACTCAGTTCTTGAATAAATTGCTGTGTTACTGGTTTACAACAGAACGAAATTACAGAAAACGGCTTAATCACAATTTGTATTTATTGCTGAAGTAGAATGCCTGTTAAAGCACTGGAATGAGTGGAGCTGGAGGCTGTATTGCAGGATACCAACACGGGCATCAAGGGCTGAAAAAATAAGAAAAGAACATAATTAAACAGTTCTTAACCTGATCTGGAGAGTGTTTCTAAGCTTCATTTTGATCCTTAACCATTAATTGGTGGCATTTTCGGTCTCCTACTGCGAGTTTAGCTTCAGGGTTTTTTGTGATTTGAAGTTCCAAAATACATGATTCCAAAAGATGTTCGCTCTTTTTTTTTTTTTATCCTTTACTACTTTTTTTAATACTACTTTCTGTGCCCCCAAAGGAGGGGGGGGGGGGGGGGAGGATTAATTTGGGAACCTAGTACTGTGTTTCTGAGATCAGCTGACTATCTTTTAACCTAAATATTTGTAAATTAGCTTTCCATTAGTAGACAAGCCCTAAAGTGTGTCTCTCTAAATAAACTTGTGTTAGTTAACCTGGTAAAATGAACCTGAAAGTTTTTCAGGACTTCTTTTGGTTTTGTCTTCATGTTGTTTGTCACTATAAAGCCTTGTTGTGCAAGAATGTGTGTACCTGAGTTCTAAGTATGGTGTTAGAGCAAGCACAGTGCTTCTGATGAGATTTCGGTTGGATGTGATGGTTCTGCAGGCTATAGTTCTGTTTTCTGTCCAGAAATTGTGATTTTTCTACCAAATCATCTTCAGCCCTTTCATTTTCAGTTTCCTGCATATTAGGATGGTGTTCTCATTGAAAAGAGAATGCAGCAAGTAAACTAGATTATTCTACTAGATTATTCTAGTCGTTGAAACTGAACCACTTCACTCAGCATGCTGAGAAGTGCTTACTCACTCTGGCATATTCCTCTACAAGGCAAGAGTATTTAGCATTACTGTTACAGGCCTGCTAGAGCCATGTGCTCTTGAGCATTCTAGATTCTTTTGAGGGGAGTGGTCTGAAGAAATAAATCTTTAAGGAGAGGACAGTGTGGCACTTCCTTAAGAGGAGTAACTCAGGTGCTTTGCCACACTGCACAATTGAAATGTTTGAATTTACTGACATATCTTTGTGACACCTGACACATATTGATCATGTCTCTCTCTTTCCATGGTTTTTACTTGGTTTTGTTCTTCCAGGATATTTTCAGAAACCAAAAATAATCTTGAGGACCAAATGTGTTTCTTATTTTTGACAAATTGTATAGAAAATGCTGAAGAAGCTTTTAGCTGTCATTGTAATACTTCTAAAGAGGTTCAGAGTCACTATGTGATTCTGTTTAAAAACAGAAGGCTTCAATAACTAGCAATAATTGCAAAGGACTTGCAGACCAAAGGAAGGAATGTTTGGTATTAAGATAGTTCTTGGAGCGCAGTGTGTTCAAGGCCCTCTTAAATTCAGGGAATGTTTGGCAATGACTTTGCTGCTCTACACTTAACAGTATTTTGTATGGAACATATTCTGAGACCTAGCATTTTATATGCTCTTTTTGTGTATGAATGTGTTCAATAGATTTTGAATATTTTATTGTCAAACTTTGATAACATAATAAAGTTGATCTAATACAGCTTGTCTCCTGTTGTGAATAACATGTTGTCTCACTGCTCACATGGAATGTCAACTTACTGTTTTTCTTCCCCACAGATTCTTGGTGTCTCATTTTCTCACAGTAATTGCTTCTTGGTTCATCTTCCAAATGCACCTACTGTCTTGTGGTACATTTGGAGTTGTCTGTTAATTGTTCTTGAATTTATGGAGATGTGGGACCAAGATTACTCAACTTCTTTTGTTTGCTTCTTTCTTGCTCATCTCGTATGGAAAAATAAAAGTTCTTGGGATGCCTCATGCTTCTGTTCAGGTAATAATTTTGAAATTAGTCCCTCAATACTGAAGTGTCCTAAATGCTTGCAGCTGCCTTCATACTGTTGGTTTCCAAACTGATCCACAAACCCATGCATGTTGACCGTACAGTTTCATGGTTGTAAGAAACAATCTTTTTGCAGTTAAAAATAGTGTATTGTGGCTCTGAAGAAATTTTAATGGTAGACAATGATTCTGTAGGGTAAAAAACCTTGGAAATTATCTCCCTTATCAAAGTAATATAAAAGCCTGTTGGGCAAGCATAAGTCCTCTGGTGGCTGGCCTAGATGCTTCACTAACCTATAGTACAAATGATTGCTTATAACTCTTGAGAAAGAAGAAAAAAAATTATGAGGCTGAAACTTGCCTTCTGGGGGCTTTTTTTTTTTTACATGATGAAGATTGTAATACAAGATGAGCGTTAGTGAATGCTGCTCCTCTCTGTGCCCTAGATACCTATTAATTGGACATCTTGTCCTAGTACAGTTCTTATTTTTGCCTTCCTCAGTGTTCATTGACCCCATATGATTGCAGGAGAAAGGGGGGGAATATGGCCTTCTTCCAGCTCCCTATTAAAATGGGGAAAGTCCTGCACTAAAGCACTGTGCCAATTCTTGGAAGAAGCTGGGAAGGCTGAGAGCACAGGGAAGGGAGGACAGAATTATAATGGGGCCTGGCTAGAGTGGTGTCAAGCCCTGTGAAAGACTGGTGTCCTGTGTAATGCTAGAATATTGATGTAACACTGGTGCTAGCTTGGGTTGAGCATCTTTCAAATAACAAAATTATAGTTGCATATTGTCTGATGCTATTTTGCTGTGCTATCTTAAATGCTTACTTTAATGATGGGATTACAGTTTCAAGAAATTATGTTGACTTTCTCTTTTGCTTGAATTACAGTTTTCTTCCAAAGTTCTAGCTTAATAGTTTCCTTTGTTTTAAGCCTAATTTACTTTGTTGTCATTC